AAGGAGTAGAGATAATACCATGCATCTTATCTGATCATAATGGAATGAAACTGAAAATCAACAATAAAAGAAGGAAGGAAAAATCATGCATCACTTGGAGAATGAACAATCGGTTACTGAATGATCAATGGGTTATAGAAGACATCAAGGAGGAAATTAAAAAATTCTTAGAAATAAATGAAAACACAGACACAACATATCAGAATCTATGGGACACATTGAAAGCAGTTCTAAGAGGAAAATTCATTGCTTGGAGTTCATTCCTTAAAAAAAGAAAAAACCAACAAATAAATGATCTCATACTTCATCTCAAAATCCTAGAAAAAGAAGAGCAAAACAACAGCAAAAGAAGTAGAAGGCAAGAAATAATTAAAATCAGAGCTGAAATTAATGAAATCAAAACAAAAGAAACAATTGAAAAAATTGACAAAACTAAAAGTTGATTCTTTGAAAAAATAAACAAAATCGACAGACCCTTAGCCATGCTAGCGAAGAGAAGAAGAGAGAGAACTCAAATTACTAGCATACGGGATGAAAAAGGCAATATCACAACACACACTTCAGAAATACAGAAGATAATCAGAAATTATTTTGAATCCTTATATTCCAACAGAATAGAAGATAGTGAAGGCATCGATAAATTTCTTAAGTCATATGATCTGCCCAGATTGAGTCAGGAGGATATAGACAACCTAAACAGACCAATATCAATTGAGGAAATAGAAGAAACCATCAAAAGACTACCAACTAAGAAAAGCCCAGGACCAGATGGGTACACAGCAGAGTTTTACAAAACCTTTAAAGAGGAACTAATACCAATACTTTTCAAGCTATTTCAGGAAATAGAAAAAGAGGGAGAACTTCCAAATTCATTCTACGAGGCCAACATCACCCTGATTCCTAAACCAGACAAAGACACTTCAAAGAAAGAAAACTACAGACCAATATCTCTAATGAACCTAGATGCAAAAATCCTCAATAAAATTCTGGCGAATCGGATACAAAAACATATCAAAAAAATTGTGCACCATGATCAAGTAGAATTCATCCCTGGGATGCAAGGCTGGTTCAATATACGGAAATCAATAAATGTTATTCACCACATCAATAGACTTAAAAACAAGAACCATATGATCATCTCGATAGATGCGGAAAAAGCATTCGACAAAGTACAGCATCCCTTTATGTTCAAAACTCTAGAAAAACTAGGATAACAGGAACATACCTCAATATTGTAAAAGCAATCTATGCTAAGCCTCAGGCTAGCATCATTCTGAATGGAGAAAAATTGAAGGCATTCCCTCTGAAATCTGGAACAAGACAGGGATGCCCTCTCTCACCACTTCTGTTCAACATAGTTCTCGAAACACTGGCCAGAGCAATTAGACAGACGAAAGAAATTAAAGGCATCAAAATAGGAAAAGAAGAAATTAAATTATCACTATTTTCAGATGACATGATTCTATACCTAGCAGACCCAAAAGGGTCTACAAAGAAACTATTAGAGCTAATAAATGAATTCAGCAAAGTGGCAGGCTATAAAATCAACACGCATAAATCAAAGGCATTCCTGTATATCAGCGACAAATCCTCTGAAATGGAAATAAGGACAACCACTCCATTCACAATATCCTCAAAAAAAAAAAAAAAAAACTTGGGAATCAACCTAACAAAAGAGGTGAAAGATTTATACAATGAAAACTACAGAACCCTAAAGAGAGAAATAGAAGAAGATCTTAGAAGATGGAAAAATATACCCTGTTCATGGATAGGCAGAACTAACATCATCAAAATGGCGATATTACCAAAAGTTCTCTATAGGTTTAATGCAATGCCAATCAAAATCCCAATGGCATTTCTTGTAGAAATAGAGAAAGCAATCATGAAATTCATATGGAAAAATAAAAGACCCAGAATAGCAAAAACAATGCTAAGCAGGAAGTGTGAATCAGGTGGTATAGCGATACCAGACTTCAAACTATACTACAGAGCAATAGTAACAAAAACAGCATGGTACTGGTACCAAAACAGGCGGGTGGACCAATGGTACAGAATAGAGGACACAGAAACCAATCCACAAAACTACAACTATCTTATATTTGATAAAGGGGCTAAAAGCATGCAATGGAGGAAGGATAGCATCTTCAACAAATGGTGCTGGGAAAACTGGAAATCCATATGCAACAAAATGAAACTGAATCCCTTTCTCTCGCCATGCACAAAAGTGAATTCAAAATGGATCAAGGAGCTTGATATCAAATCAGAGACTCTGCGTCTGATAGAAGAAAAAGTTGGCTATGATCTACATACTGTGGGGTCGGGCTCCAAATTCCTCAATAGGACACCCACAGCACAAGAGTTAATAACTAGAATCAACAAATGGGACTTACTCAAACTAAAAAGTTTTTTCTCAGCAAAAGAAACAATAAGAGAGATAAATAGGGAGCCTACATCCTGGGAACAAATCTTTACTCCTCACACTTCAGATAGAGCCCTAATATCCAGAGTATACAAAGAACTCAAAAAATTAAACAATAAGATAACAAACAACCCAATCAACAAATGGGCCAAGGACCTGAATAGACACTTCTCAGAGGAGGACATACAATCAATCAACAAGTACATGAAAAAATGCTCACCATCTCTAGCAGTCAGAGAAATGCAAATCAAAACCACCCTAAGATACCATCTCACTCCAGTAAGATTGGCAGCCATTATGAAGTCAAACAACAAGTGCTGGCGAGGATGTGGGGAAAAGTGTACACTTGTACATTGCTGGTGGGACTGCAAATTGGTGCAGCCAATTTGGAAAGCAGTATGGAGATTTCTTGGAAAGCTGGGAATGGAACCACCATTTGACCCAGCTATTCCCCTTCTCGGTCTATTCCCTAATGACCTAAAAAGAGCATGCTACAGGGACACTGCTACATCGATGTTCATAGCAGCACAATTGACAATAGCAAGACTGTGGAACCAACCTAGATGCCCTTCAATAGACGAATGGATAAAAAAATGTGGCATTTATACACAATGGAGTATTACTCTGCATTAAAAAATGACAAAATCATAGAATTTGCAGGGAAATGGACGGCATTAGAGCAGATTATGCTAAGTGAAGCTAGCCAATCCCTAAAAAAACAAATGCCAAATGTCTTCTTTGATATAAGGAGAGTAACTAAGAACAGAGTAGCGACCAAGAGCATGAGAAGAAGATTAACATTAAACAGGGATGAGAGGTGGGAGGGAAAGGGAGAGAGAAGGGAAATTGCATGGAAATGGAAGGAGACCCTCAGGGTTATACAAAATTACATACAAGAGGAAGTGAGGGGAAAGGGAAAATAATACAAGGGGGAGAAATGAATGACAGTAGAGGGGGTAGAGAGAGAAAAGGGGAGGGGAGGGGGGATAGTAGAGGATAGGAAAGGCAGCAGAATACAACAGACACTAGTATGGCAATATGTAAATCAATGGATGTGTAACTGATGTGATTCTGCAATCTGTATGTGGGGTAAAACCCACTTGAATCAAAGTGTGAAATATGATATATCAAGAACTATGTAATGTTTTGAACAACCAACAATAAAAATTAAAAAAAATAAATAAAAAATAAAAGAAAACAAACAAAAAAAGGCACTTTAGGAATTTCCAAAAGACTCTCAACAAAGTTCTTACATGTAAAAAGCCTTTTGAGCCTAGGCTGCAAAGGATGTACATGGGAATTAACCACAATAGAGTAGTTAGGTTTTGCTTCTGAAGCATCACAGGTCTGAAGAATGAGTGCTGATTTGTGGGTGATGGGAAGAAAGAAGAGGATGAAGGCAAAGAGAGTTGGGGCCACTGAATATAAAAAGAAGGCATAAGGAACAGGGATTTGGGCAGGAACAGGAAGGCATCCCTGTCTTTCAGAATCCATCTCCGGTGCAGGAATCATTTAATGTTTGAATTCACACCGGGGAAGAGAAGGAGTCATCCCTTCGTGACTGAACTAATTTCATACTAATTTCTCCACTCACCCAAACATCCCATGGCTGGTTTTGTTTTATTTGTCTGAGCTTCCCAGCAGGAGGCATTTAGATCTGGCCACTGAAATTGCTCCAAGCAGACTCATCAGGACAGACTCATCACTGCCGTGTCCTGCAAATTGACTACTCAGTTGGGAGGCCAAGTTTGGAGATGCCTATGAGGTTTCCCAGTTTTCCCCTAATATAAAACGGCAGCAACTGGGGCTCCAGACTTGTAGAGTGGAAGCTTTTTCCAATGAAAACCCTGTTCAAATCCTCCTGCACGTTTACCTCGAAGGGCGTGTGAGAGTTGCGCGTCTTTCTACCTTTAATGGGACAACCCGCGCACACTGCACCCAAAGTAAATGATGAATATGGTCTTTGCTATTCTCTTCTCCATCTTCCATTCTCTCTCCTTTCCTTGGGCGAATAAGAAAGTCAAAATCTTAGAGGATCCTTTCATTGCCCTGAGGACCATTAAATGGAGGGGACGTAAGGTCCCAGGGGACTGGAACCCCGACCCTCGCTCTAAGCTTACCTTAAAAGATAAGTGCTAAACCCCTGCTCCCCGTTGCCAAAGCCACCTGACAAGTTCCAGAAGTGCTTGGTTGTTTTTGGAAGGGGGGTACCGGGGGTGGGGCGTCTAGGACAGAAGATGAGGGTCAGGTGTTTCGCGACGGTGGCATGTAAGGAGGAGGCGCTGCAAAGACCCCGCCGCTCCTCCTCCGCCCCGGCTGGGCGCTCTCTGCTGCCCCCCGCGGAGGCGCCCAGGCCCCAGCCCGGGCCCCCCCAGCGGCTCCTCGGGAATGCTGGGAATGTGAGTCAGGGCCTCGGCGAGCAAGAGAGCGCGCCGGCCGGCCGGGGCGGGGGCCCGGTGGAGCGCAGCGCCTGGCAGCGCCGTGCGAGCGCGCGTCTCGGGACTGCGGCGGGTGCCGCCCCCTCGGCAGCCGGCCCCGCCCGCCCCTGCCCCAGCCCTCGGAGCCGTGTCCTCCTCCTTCCCTCCCGCCCTCCAGCTCCCCGGCCAGCTCCTCCTCCTCCCGCTCTTGATCGCTCCGGCTCCGGCGCCGGCTTCGGCACCTCCCGGCCGCCCGGGGCCGAGGCGACGTGAGGTTGTAAAAATCCATGTGGGACGGCCCCGGGGCGAGCATCGCAAAGGTGAGACGCCGGCGCCGGGGCTGCCCGGTGCCTGGCTCCCTCGAGGCGCCCTGCCGGGCATCCCTCGTGCCGGGTTCCCCTCGCTCGTGGGGAGCTGCAATGCGTTATCAGGGGGAGCCGAGGGGTGAACCATCCGCCTCCACCAGGGCTTTCTTGGGCGGGGGAAGGGTTGGGCGGCCTAAGGGCGGATTTGTCTTGATGTATAAACCCCCGGATTGGAACAAGTGCACGGTTTCTTCTGGCGCGCGGGCGGCCCCGGCCACCTCCTGCAGTCCCTCTCTGGCAGCCACCCTCACTGCCATCTCCTTTCTTTTCTCCAGATCCCTCTCTCTTCCCGGCTTGCCCTCTTGCCACGAGGGGTGGGGTGTTTGCAGGGGCAGGGGGCTCGCGGAACCCCAAGCAGAACAAAGTGGTGGAAGGAGGATCCTCAGCCCAGGGGGTGGGGTCCCTGGCTGTCTGGGTGGGCTCTGAGGGGAACAGGTTAAAAAAAAAAATCCGTGTCAGAAAAAATGAAGCCCGGGTTTATTGGGGAGGGTTAGGAGGTGGTGGTGTATGAAAAGGAATACGATGTGAAATTAAACTGGACAGCACTCCTTCTCTCCCTCTCCCCATCTCCTAATTATACAAGAAAATGGGTACTTACGAGGGTGTACCTATTTATTTATTTATTTTTTAATTACTGTCCGATCCTTTGAAAGATCATTTTAGGACAGTGAAGATTAAGGGCTGCTTTGGGGCGGGATAATAAAATAGCGCTTGTGAACTCTCTGTTCATCCCTGCCTTATTTATTTTGTACTTAAGGGTCTCTGTTCTCCATGTCAGAGAGGGAGGGTCTTCTCTGTTAGGAGAGGATCGATTTTAGGCGGCTACCTGCCTTTGCTGGATGAAAGGCAATTTACTCCCCGAGCGGTGAATTGTCAGTTCCCTCTGTGATTGACAGCCACACCTGCCACTTATGTGGGTGGAATGGGGACCAGTGGCACCCCAAGAGCCAATCAATGCTTGGGAGAGGAGGGCTGCTCCCACTTGTCTTGGTTAGTTTCCTGGTTGGCTCTTTAAAATCAGTGGTTTTACTTAACCATTGGTTTCCACCAGGTATGGGGCTCCAGCTGTGAGAGGCAGACAAGCGGGAAGAAACTCTTCGAAAATGGTATAGCAGCAAGTACGTTTGATCTCTGTTCTCTTGTCCAACCCTCCCCCGTTTATTAGTTGTAGTAGTTGGGGATGCTGAGGCCACTGCCTTGAAAAGGAAATGAATCTGTGTAAAGAATGAAATGAGGAAGGGTAATGGGGGTTAGAATTGCCCACCCTTTCCCCCAGAATTGCAGTCTTCTTTATAAGAGACACCATTTACTGTTGAGCTATCTGGGAAAAGGGTGTGGCACTTTGTCTCCTATGGTCACTCTTGTCCTTGTAAAGTCACATTGTTTCTGAGTGTACAGTACCTAGCCCTTAGCTCTATTGGATGGATTTTAAAGTGTTTTTGAAGCAGGCAAACGTACTGTATCAGTACCAACATGAACAGAAGGGATTTTTTTTTTCTTTCTAGTTTTGACAGTATAACACAACTTAGGGGAGTGAGGGTTGCCTTGTTCTCTTTTCTGGTGTGTCAGTTTGGAGGTGACTGTGGGGTCAGGATATATTCTTTCTGGAGAGTAGAAGAGTTTGCCTTTTTCTAATGTGAGCCATTTTGTCCGTTTGCTTCTGTGCTCTAATAAAAGCCTTTCACATTTTGGAGGGGGAGGGGGGTATGGATAGTGATGGAATCATGGCTTTCATCAGCAAGACTTTCAGGGTTAGTTGAACCATGGGTGAAGGACCAGATCCTTCTCAACTCTCTAATAGTGAAAGATTGGCTTTTCAACCCCCTTCTCCCTGGATGTGTTAGAAAAATTACTAGTTGATCCAGAGAACCGTCACCTTATAGAAGCTATACCTGGGTGTGAACGTAAAGCTGTGAATTCAGCATTTCATGAACAGATTGTGAACCAGAATGCTCTGGTTAGGATGGTCTTCATGTAGAAGTCAGGTTTGTCAAGGTAATATTATTACTATTACTACTACTATTATTATTATTATTTATGCTATTGCTTCACTGAGAACTTTATGTGTATTACCTTTTTCTAACTTTGAGGAGTCCCTAGGAGATAGTTACTATTATTATCTCTAAACTATAGATGTGGAAATTAAAAGTAAATACCTTGCCACAATTCAGTGTGAGAATAGAACTTGGCTCAGATTTGTCTGACCCAGAGACCATGACCTTGCTATGGCCTTGAATTCAAATTTTGATTGTGTGGTCTGAATGTGTCCAGTCTGAAGTGTGGGCTCTCCCAACATGCATGAAGTCAACCTGTGTGGAGCCACTGCAATGTTGATGGTCCTTGTACCTGCCTGTTCACCTTTCCATTCCTAAGTGTTGCTTTTGCCAGTAGGCAAATTTAGGAACTTTGTGTATTATATATCTCTATTAGAGCAGTTTTGGTCCAATAGAAATTTAGTTCCAAAGTTGATGATGACTTAAAAAAAGGTAAAACAAAATAAAATCCACACTCTTTTATTTTTCTTAATACCTTAAATTTCCAGCTGGGAGTCTGAATAGATCTTGGTTGAATAAGTGCGCTTAACATTAGTCACTTGGCTTCTTTCTCCAAAGCATTAGAGTTTCATTTTTTTTCTTTCACTTACAAAGAGATCCTTTTTCATTAGTGATTAGATATTCTTATATTTAAAATTATTCTGTTAAAATAGTATGGCTCTCTTTTGTGTTGTGTTGGAAAACCATAGACTTAAGTCTCATTAGTTCCATCTCATTGGTGAAACTGAAAGGTGAAGGTTTGCCAGAAGAAGTCTCCTAAAAATGAATAGGTGAATAGTGCTGGAGTCCTCAAATAGTCTTTGACTTTGGTTAGGTTGATTTGTGTACAATTTTCATTTTTGCATTTAGCCTTTAAAAAAAAAAAAAAAACAGCTAACAAATTTGGTTGTTCCATGGGAGACCTACTTGCCAGCCCAGAGCCAATAGAGTTTCATCAATGTTTATATTATTTCTTGATTTTTTTTTGGTATTGGGGATTAAACCCAGGGATGCCCTACTATTGAGCTATATCCCCAACCTTTTTATTATTTTATATTGAGATAGGGTCTCGCTAAGTTGCCAAGGATACCCTCCAACTTGTGGATCTCCTGCCTTAGCTTCTTAAGAAGTGTGTGCCACTACACCCAGCTCTTCCTTCATATTTTATTGCAGTGTTCCTTATTTTAGCAGCTAGTGGAACAAGTGGTAAGCAGAAAGGCACTTCCATTAATGATAGCGTAGGTCTTGTAAATTTAAAACAGTTGATCCAAAGATAGGAATTGTTGGATGTATCAAAAGTGGAGATTCTGGGCTGGGGATGTGGCTCAAGCTGTAGTGCGCTCGCCTGGCATGCATGTGGCCCGGGTTTAGTCCTCAGCACCACATACAAGCAAAGATGTTGTGTCCGCCGAAAACTAACAAATAAATATTAAAATTCTACCCCCCCCCTCTTTAAAAAAAAGTTAAAAAAAAAAACAAAAGTGGAGATTCTTCAGCTTGTTCTTTCTTAGGTGAAGAAAAGAAAAAGAAATGAATGACACATGTTAAAATATATCAAATGGTAACAATATATTAATAAACTTTGGCAGCATAACAAAAATCTCCAATTTTTAGCAACAAGGAGTCTTCAGGTTGATCTAGAGTGGACTTCTTAGGGTGGCTGTAGTTTAGGTTCCAGTCTATTCCATATGTGCTTTGGGACCCAGGCTAAAGGAATAGCAGCTCTATGGGGCATGCCCTTCTTACGGCAGAGCATGGAGTCAAGAGCAAAGGCAAACCACACAAACAAATGTCCCTTTCACTGACATCTTCTCCCACTTTCCCCCCATAAAGCAAGTCACCTGGGGAAGCTTAATATCTATAGATAAAAGTAGACTGCCCATTGTAGGGGAGAGAATATTTGATAAACTACAATCCAGACTCCCATAGTGGGTACAAAATGTGGTGTCATTGGGGAATTTTGTAATTTCTCTCCTTCTTGGAGAATGCAGTCCTCATCTTCTTACTCCTACATCTAGCTTTATGATATATAAACATAGTATTTAACTTTTCATTTCAGGAACATACCATATTTGATTTTAGAGGACTGACTATAAAAGCAGGTATGTGTATACACACGAATTACTTAAATTATTAAGGCACTATTTGTTAAAATTTACTGTGTTGCAAGAAATAATGTTCAATGCAGGGTGAACACAGTTTTAAACAGATGTGGGTCCTTTTAAGGAACTCATAGAGAGTTTACTTGGGTAAAATGGCATTTTCTTGGATTCTAGTTTGGAGATGCAGATACAGCAGTAGATACAGTAGTAATGTGAGGAGCCCATGCATATATAATGAGTTATTCCATTTGACCAGAGGCAAGAAAGGTGAAAAACAATAATAATAACCATTATAATAATAGTAGTAGTATTTATAGTTTAACTTTTATTGAGTGGTAAAGGCACTGTGCTTAGCACTTTCCGTAAAATATCTAATTTAATTTGGGGGGTAGACATTGTTGATTGCCTACCTAATATTAATTCTCCTCCTTTTTACTAAAAGTACCTCAGTTTTATTTGAAATGGGAATATGACTACTTCCCCTTCCCAGACTCCTTAGCAGTTTAGAATGGACTTGAGACTGAGTTCTCATGATGATATAAGTGGAAACTATTGGGTGAGGGCTTTCCTGAAAACTTTATGAGGAAGAGACACTGGATGGTAACTCTACTTTTGTCCCCTGTTCGCTTTTGGGGACATCAGCACAATGCCTGGATTGGCACAGCTAACTACCTCCATGAAGATAATAAAACCATGTGTTAAAAATGGCAAAGCCAGTTGTGCCTGTCATCCCAGCTATTTGGGAAGCTGAAGCAGGAGAATCCCAAGTTTGAGACCAAGCTCTGTAGTAAGACCCTGTCCCTAAAGAAAAAGTGCTAGAGATGTAGCTCATTTGTAGAGTGCACATGTGCAAGGTCCTCAGTTCAGTCCCCAGCATGATCTGGGTGTAGTGGAGGGGAGGGACAAAGTGGAGCCTAGACAGATTTTGGTCTTGATGACATTTTTCATTCATAGTTCCAGCCTACACTGCCTTGCTTGTATTTATTAGTTCATGAAACAAAAAGACTTACTTAGCTCCAAGCCACTAGTTTTTACATGCAGCTAATCACACTCCTTACTGATAACAAACTTTCTCAAGGGCCTCTCAAAGTGGATGCTCTCATGCTATTTTATAGGTGAGAAGATTAAAACCGAAAGAGGTTAAGGACATTGCCCAAGATCAGGCATGTTGTGTGAATCACACTGGGATTTCAGGCAATGTCATTTTGACTTTTAAGTTCCTCATCCTGCCTTTGGCTGGGCAGGATAAGTACCATAGTGGAAACAAAGTTGGCAAAGTAGGTTAAAGTAAGATTAAGGAGGCAACTGGTGTCTGGGTTGAAATGTTGGAGCTTGATTTCAGGGGCTGGAGAGTATAAGTCAGACTGGAGGCTGGGAGACCAACAAGGCTTATGTACATGATATGCTCTCATGTGAATGACAGTAGAGGAAAACTGGGCACAGAGCAAACCTGGGAACATGAAGAGAGAGTGGAATTGGGTGAACTCAAATCAAAGTTGCCTGTTAATTTATAATCTGAGAATAAAATGAAAGTTTATTGAAGGTTAGTATTAACTTCTACTAATGGCTTCACATTCGCCAGGAGGTAGAGAATGAGTAATGCAGAGAATTGCTAATGGAACGTGAATCATTATTTAGTGCCTTTTAGGGTGGGGATTTCTGCTCATTGTTAGTACCTTTTATTGAGCCCTTGATGACCTCGTCTGACATGATTTTGGTCTGGGTCTGGCTCCAATGTGCCAGTTAAAGGTAGCAGAGATGAAGGGTCAAGTCAGAGGATGCTGCAGTAGATTCTATCAATGGACTTACTTCCGCTGTCATCCCTTAAATGTTCCAGAGTTTTCATGGAAGAAAGGGTACTCTCTCTTACCCTCTCATCTACTTTTGAAAATCTGTACAAGAGAGGATTTGGTTTATATTAGTGGTTTTCAGATGTTTTTCATCTGTAGAAAATTTGTTTCTTAAATAAAAATTCAGAGTTCA